CTGAGTCTACCCTGGATGAGAATATCTTTTTGGAAAGCAAGGCTATGCGAAATTAAATAGAAACATCAGCTCTACTCATAATAATGTGGGAAAATTTAACTACCAGTCTTTCATCACCTTAAACGAAATAAGTTAAACACAACTTTAGTATTAAATGAGGACGCCCTATATAAATATTTCCCTCATAACACATAAAAGTAGCTTAGTAGAAGCTTAACTGTTTTATCAGTTTTTTACATAGTGAAGAAAGCCTGCAATCAAGTGAAGAAGTGTATCAGTCTAAAACGGCTATGTGCATATTGTATAAAGGAGTAGCATTTGAGGACACCCTCCATAGATAAAAAAAGGTAGCTTTAATCCATGCAAACGTAATACTTAATCCGCCGAATGAAGGAAATCAATCAGTGCATTAAGGCCTTTATATTTCTCACCCATACCAAGCTATAGGACTTCAACGTACTAGAGGATGTCTAATTAATAAGTCAACCGGGTGTGTTGGGACTTCTACGTGAAAATTGAGCATGAGCTACTCTGAACAGATAAATAAATAAATCTCTCCAAGAGATTTTGATCAGAAAGACTAACGCCATGACTAATGATGAACTAATTATGTCTCAATCATACTAGCAAGGTATTTTACTCTCAACTGAATATAATCTGATCCCAATTGTATGTAAGAACGTTTACTTATCTAAACTGTCTTAATTTGTAAGGTGATTATCATAAAAAATCAAGCGGAGTAACAAAGGAAGTCTTTTTAAATTCATCATTGTATGTGTAATTGCATCTCAAAGCAGAATAAATAAGCTGGTCTTTATCTATAACATCCTCTTTCTTTCCACGACCAAAAAGCAAAGATAACTTTTCTAAATCCTTGAAAAAATTGGCCTGGATATGAAAATCAGTCTTTGAAAATAATTTGGATAAAATCATTTGAGAAGTTAAAATGAAACGGTTTAAACAATTCGATATACGTAAACTATAGTTTCCAGCAAATGAAGGGCGGCATTATCCTTCAGAACTTTCGTGTCATCTATATCTAATATACTAGTGTGTTCCATCCTAGAGTAAAGAAATCTCTTGCATATTTTTAAGCTTGATGCTCAATTAATTTCACATGCTTAGTCAAGTTTTTAAATGAAGGAGTGGCGCTGTTTCATCTGCTGACAAACAGCCTATTTCTACAAACCTTTGCATTTTGTCGTCACAGAATTGGAAACCAGTCAGAACAGGATCAGATTGTTTGAGGTTCCACGGAGTGATCAGTAAACAATATGCTATCGTCCGAAGCTAACGCTGGTTGCCGATTTAATTTGTGTTTTTATAGAGGTTAAAATATAAGTTAAGTGACAATTATAAATAGTCTACTGTGAGTGGATCCACATAGTCTAGAAACCTAATTTCTGATTGTCATAAAATTGAGCATCTTTAATAAAAACTGGAAATATTCTATTATTGTAACTCTTAATAGTACTCTAAAAAGACAAGCTATAAGATTATATCGGGTATAGACACCTTCTCTCATTTAATTCCAGCAAGGTTCGGAGAATGAATTTAATGTAAAAGCAATTTTTTTGATAGTCGGAATACATTCGTGAGCATTTGAACTTTTTCTCTCCTCTTTTTTCAAGAGTCAATAAGAAAGATGGGCGGAAATATCAATTACATCATAGTCAACTTACTGCCGCAATAATTAAGTGACCACAGAAAAATTGCTCTTAAGATAACAGGATAGATGAGCATCCGCAATGGCGTTTATGACGGTATGCCTACTTTAGTATGTTTATGCATTTGTTTGGCCTTATTTTTAGTCTGATTTTAGTAAGAAGAAGCAGTCGTGGTCTGGAGAGATGCAACTATGTGACCTGGTTGTTCAACCAGTGGTGGAAGCTGACAGGCCGAAGAACTGTTCGTATGGCTGTTTTGGTTGTTGTGGGATGCCTGTTGGATGTTCAAAGCTGCCATATCAGCGCTGCCAACAGAGTTTAGAAAGCTGACTTGCTGCAGAATGTCATTGGCCTCCTCGCCTTGATCTACATCCTCTTCATTCTTGGTTCTCTTTGGGATAATGCTGGCTGCACCAAGGATCTGTGAGGTCTTCAGAGTATTAATTGAAGCAGCTTTTACCAAACGTTCGTTGAGCTGCCTAATTAAGTCTTGCTGAGCCTCTAAAGTGCGTTGTGCCTCATTAAGCTCGCGCTCTAGCATCAGGTTTGGCTGTGAATGTTCAACTTGATGAAGTAGCTCTCTGGCATGTTCACCTTCGCGCCGATTTAGCCCTAATGCGGCTTCAAGATCCTTTATTCGAGTGCGGCACTGCTTAAGCTCACGTCGGAGATTATTAATTTCTTTAATTAGGCTGACATTTTCCTGGAAGTGTTAAAAGCGTGAATACAAATAAAAAATGAAATTAGAGCACATTTTCAAATTATTAACATTTAATAACAAAAGAAGTGGCTTACGCGAATAAATAAATAAATAAATAAAATATATATATGTGAGTGCATGTGGGTGCATTGGCAGGAAAATCTGGATTTAATATAATAGGACGAGAAGAATATTGACTAGTGGAGGTTTTAGCATTTAGTGCTCTCGTAGTAATTGAGTAAAGTTATCCTTGTTATGGTATCTAGTAAATAC